TTATAAAAAAAACAATAGAAGTATTGATTTCTATTCTTACAGGGTTTGAATTGCACACAACTGCTCACCGTAGCTTCCCCCCTCCTCCCCCCAAAATGTTAAAGTAGCTATTGTGTTCACCATGACTTTCTGGCGCAAAGTCCTCAAACTGGCTTTGTGAAAAGCTACGGGCATCGTGTAAGTTTTTTTTTCAAGAGGTTACTCTGTTTAGAACAGAGTAACTTGTTAGAAACAACTGATTCTACTTGTGTTCTTGCATTACCAGGTGAAGTCATCTTTTTTCCACAGTTTTGTTTGTGAGACACTTCCAAGGGCTGGGAAGGATAACTTAAGAAAAGCAAGATGTCATGTGCGATTAACTTATGTATGTATGCAGGGTTCTGCACCTGTATGGGGAAAAAACCCATTACTCTTAAAATTGGAAAAGAATTGAAATTTACCACTAGTGTGTACTTGTAGTAGTAGTACTGTCAACATCTAACACATAGCAATACTGAACCATTAGAGGAATACATGAAACTGAGTTGCATTTTTACAAGCTTTAAAATGGGAGTGATTAAGCACTAGAACAGATTCCCTAGAAGTGATTTTGCAGCCTTTAAACTTAACTGGACAGGACCTTGAGCAACTTGAACTGTAGGCTTTTAATTACCCTTACTGTGAGTAGGAGGTTGGCCTGGAAGACATACAGAGGTCACATCCAACCAAAGTAATTTTATAATTCTTTGATCTTTGCACCACAAGCTTGTTGTCAGCTGTACTACAAAAACCATCCCAATGGATCTTTCTGTTCTGGTGTATATTGAGGTGACTGAACATCATCTTACAGCCTTAATCTTGCTGCCACTCTCTATTGTGACTTTTGGCCCCCTATGTTTTAATGTCTGTCAACCGTAAGTCATCTGTTATGATGACTCTTTCTTGTGCAACTATCTGTGTTGGCTTGCTTCACTGTTTTTTTGAGAAACACTGAGTTACAGCAAGTTATTGAGAGGCCACCACAGCAAATGTTCACACCAGAAGCTGATCAAAGTACACAGCTATCTGCTGCCCAGTTGGAAACTGTCCGTGGCTGCTGTGATCACATTCTGCAAATGTGTGATGACTAGGTGTGCCTAAGTTTTGCAGGCAGTAGGTGTTTTCATGAACCTTTTGTTGATACCACATTTCCTGCAGTATGTGTGTTGAAGGGTAGGACTAGATCTGCCAGTGAAACAGCCAGTGTACAGCTGACAACACCATACTTACTGCTTCATAGCTCATCAGCTTGAGAGGTGTGACAAGTCCTTGGAATCAATGGCATGTCCTCCAGCTGGAGGCTGGTGTGGAAAAAGTAAAGGGAACTAAAGGGAGGTTGGTTTTCGTCACCATGGCCCATCCATTTTTGGTGGGCTACCTTATTTCTTTCTTCTATGCATCTTTTTCAAATATACAGCTATATAAAAAGGACAAGGTCCTCACTAAACTGTTAAGAAAGCAGTAGTGACAACTTCAAAATCCTCCTGAAAATACAGTAATAACTTTAGGTATTAAGTAACAAAAAAACTTTATCTCAGAAAAAATGCGCTCAGGATATTGAATCAGTGGTGTGACCTACTCTGAAGAAGTATTTACATATAGTTTTAAAGAACCCATACTTTAAAATGCAGTGTGCTCTTCTAAGAATGCTATGAGAAACTGAGCTGACAGTGAATGCTCACTCAGAAAATGCAGTAGAATACTCAAATTATGATATTTGTGTAAATGTTCTCAGACACTGCAATTGTGCAATGAAGTTGAATTTTTTTATTGAAATTTGTGTGGCTTGGATTCATAATGAATAGCAGTAGATGAAGTTTATGGTTCATATATTTTCTCAAGTTTTAAATTTTGCTTATAGGTCTGTAAATTTCCAAAGGGTGTGGATGATTAATTATTTTTGCCACCTGTCTTCCAGAAGCTGAATAGCAGAAAGCATGGCACCACTGCTCTACATAACGAAAATGAACAGTGGATGAAGTAAAAGGAGTTGGATTTAATTGTCCTCCCCTCCTGACAAAAATACACCTTGTATTTTTTTCTGTATTGTCCTTTTATTAAAAAACCATGAGTCATGTAACAGCAGAATTTGTGAATTATATGTTCTAACATGCGAAAGCTGCATTGCAGTTTGTCAACACTAGGAATTTGTACAATGCTAATGAGTAAGTTAAAATGTAATTGAACTCTAAACTCAGAAGACCTCAAAACGACACCTACTTTAGATTCAGTGAAATTGTCTCTAACTTTAAATCAAGCTCTGCTCATAGGGTAACCAAGTGTACATTAAACAAGTATTATGATTATGCAGAAGGAGGACACACTCTTTTTGTTTAATATTCTTCTTTCTACTCCTGGGATAGGTGTTGGCCCAAGATTTTATATGCAGTCATCATTGAGTTACAACAGTTACTGGTTTACCCAGGTAATCCAGTTGGTGCTTTTGCTGTTAGATATGATAGGAAGCAAGGCATAGGGAGCCCTGTATCAACACAAATCACTGTCTCCTGTGCCTTATATTTAAGTTGCATGATTCCTGCCAAGACCACCCATTTCTGTGGGTAGTCCTGTTGGGTGGAGGTTAGTGGAGCTGGATTTGTTTTGGAGGGTTGAGAAGGTTTCTTGCGTGGGTGGCGAGATAGTTGCCGTAATTGAATGTGAACTGTAGAATGGCCCATCTTTGCTCCTTTGTGTTGTCTTGTGTCTACAACATTATTGCTTTAGCAATGAAGATGATATTGGAGAAATGAGTGGGGGGAAAAAAGTGTTAGAGAAGCAGAAATTTTCATCAAAATCTGGCCAGCTGTGCCCAAAATTACTTAATTTCCTGTTGCAACATAGAGAGGAAAATGGCGTCTCTTAGCTGATATAAAGTTGCAAGTATACCTGTTTTGTGGTGGTAGCATGGCTAATTCCCAAGTCCCTTTTTACTCATCTGACAAGTGCAGTTATGATTAAATTGTTCATATTACTCTGTAGGTTATAGGGAGAGAAATTTTACTCTACCCTTAGTTGCCTCATCAAGTCCTCTACAACTACAAAGCACTCTTTTTGTCAGACAAACATGCTTTAACTTTTTCTGTAGGTTACCAGAAAGATTAGTAGTCAGTCTGACAGCTTCTGAAGAGGAGGCTGCAAAGAGGAACAGAATTATATCTTGACTTGTGAAAGTTAACATCACAGTTCTTGGGCAAAGTTTATAGAGCTTTCCCAAGGGTAGCTACAGTCTGCCTACATTACTTTGACTCTTATCAAAAAACTTCCAGTTCTGTTAAAGTAAAAGAATCCAATGAAACTTAGATTATTCTTTTGGTTTCTTAAACCAAGAAAAGTGTGACCATGGTGATAATGATATTTAGTAGATAATCTTATAATGCAACTAGGCATGCCTGTGTTCTAGATGTCTACTGTTTTGGCAAGTAGTCGAATTCATGAAGGTAAAGTAATCCTTGTTGAGCAGGTGGGGAAAACCTAATGTGGAGACCATTACTCAGATTAGGTATGATTCATCCGAAAAGGTCATGGAACTATAGCAGATCTATGAAAACATCTGTTTAATATTTCATAGTGAAAAAGGAAATAAAACTCTTTGACTGACAGTGAAATAGATAAAGAACAAAACAGAAAACTGTTATTGTGACCCTATGTTCAAAAGGCTAACAAACTGCATTCATATAGGATAAGTCTCATCCCCAATCAAAAGAAGATGTAGTAGGACTAGTTAAGATCCATGTAAGAGTGACAAGGGTAATTAAAGTGTAGATTTTTTTTTCTTGCTACAAGAATGACTTAAAACTAGTGTCACTTCCTAAACAGTAGAGAACAGGGCAAAGATGTGTGGCAAACATCTGTAAAAGCATGTGCAACATGGAGAAGGAACTGTGAAGCCATGAACACCGTCTCCTAGTGCAAGAATACAAAGGGACAGTCAGCTGGAATTAGCAGGTGGCAAATGTCTAGATAAAAGTGGCTAACTATTCATATAGTGTATAAGTGAACTGTGAAATATAATCCTGTCCAGTGTTGTGATGCTCAGAAGTTCTCATGAGTTCAAAGAGTGATTAGACAAATTCACAAAGGAATGTGCTGTAAAACACATGCTGGCTCAGGGAACTTTGAGCTCCAACCTGGCAGTTGCTAGGGATATGCTTCCATAGTTGTAATGATCTACTCTTTTATTCCTACCTGGGCATCTTGTGCTGCTGGAGAGTAGATCCTGGGCTATATAGCTTCTGCTCTGTCTGTAGTATCTTCTTAGATACTACAGAGTATCTAAGCTTTGTCTATGTGACTTGGCTGCTAAGTAAATATTCTTCAAGGACTTCACTTTTCCTTCTCTCATAGGACTCAAGGTAGGACACATAGAAAATATGCTGAGGAATATTCCCAGTGAGTGCAGCAATCTGGTGTGGAATAATCTTCCTCTCTTATTAAAATCTCTCAGTTTGAAAACAGGACAATTTCAAGTTGCCAGCTGGGAATGATCCTAGCTCCTGTGAATTCTCAAACCATGCCCAAGAATTTTAGGAGTTTGCTAGTTGTCATAGGTTAAAATTGTGCCAGAGACCATTTGAACAATTAAGCAATGTAGGCAGTTGCATTCCAGTACCCAGGAGTGTCTCCAGGCACCGTGTCATTTACAGTTCCAGCTTGAGTATTGTGTTTCTATCCAGTTTGAAGTACTGAATAGAAAGAAATTTCCTTGCATTCTCTGTGTGACCGCCATAGTTACTGATTTGCTTCTTATAGGCAAAATCCCTTTGCTGATTTCAAAAACAAGAACAAAAAGTTCAATTAGGTTCTTTCATAGAAGTGAAAATCTAAAGCATGGGAGTCATTTGAACTTTACTGTCTTACCACATGGGAAGTCAGCAAAGTTGCTGCCTAGAACAAGGAACAAAATTAAGAGATGTTTTGGTAAAGGATCAATTGTAAAATTTATGATTTTTACCTTAAAAGTAATAGCTACCTTTTTCTTCTAGACGATGTCTTCAGCAGTTGTTCAAATATATGCAGCAGATCGCAATGCCATGTGGTCAAAGAAGTGCTGTGGCGTAGCTTGCCTTGTAAAGGACAATCCGCAGAGGTCGTATTTTATCAGAATATTTGACATTAAGGTAAGCATCCTTTTTTTTCCCCAGACTCCTTAAACTTGGTTGTATTCATTCTCTGTTTTGAATTCAATGAGTGTAGGTTGTCGTAGCTACAAACTCATAGAAATTCTCAAGTAAATAGTTGTGCTTTAAGCAGTGCAATTACAGTGCTTATTAATAGGGAAGTGCAACGTTCAGGTATTCGAAATTCAAGCAATTTCCTAGGTGTCATCTTCTATGGATGAAATAAATATCAGATTCAGTTTTCTTACAGCTCTCAGAAGCTGTCCTCTACAGATCTGATTAGTCAAATTAGTGAAAGTTTGTATAGTGTCACTGATGGATAACTGTCACAATTCTAGCAGGTGTCACTACTTTAAATGGTTTAACAAAGGATATGCTGTCTTCTGTATGGGTGGAAACAATCTTTTTGATCAGTGTGCTGGTGCATGTGAAAACTGCAGTACAAACAAGTTACATGTTTTGACTTTTTTGGGGTTTTTTGGTGGCTTTTTTTTTTGTTCCCCCTTTCATGATATATACAGTCATACACTCAAAGGTCATTGTCCCATTATAATATTTCACGCAAGGCAGTGGGAACTGAGAGATGAAGTGTCCAAAAAGTGTTTTCATCATAAAAATGGTGCTGAGAAACATAAGTCCTAGTGACAGTATTGAGACTTTGGAAAGATTCCCATTATCTCTACAGCCAGGAACAGCTCATTAACTGTCAACCTTCAGTGCTTGAAGTCTCAGATTTGTTCAGGATTGCCAGTTGCTACTTGCATTTGACTTTGTGATTTGGTCACTTGACTGTTAAGACTTAGTGAGAAGCCTCTTCCTTGGGTGCTGAACTATGATGTCATTTAAATACATGAAACTTCTTAGAAAGGTGAGATTTTTAAGTTAACTGTCTTCAAGTCAAGCCTCAGATAAGAACAGGAAACTGGAAGCCTCCTTTATTGCTGCTGCTGTTTTGTCCCTGTGTTCACAGAATTGCAGAATATTCTCAGTTGAGAGAGACCCACAACTCTTAAGTGAATGGCCCATATGGGGATCAAAACCATGACCTTGGTGTTACTAGCACCATTCTCTAACCAACTGAGCTTCCTATGACTGGTTGCTTTTACTGCTCCCAGTATCACTATTGCAGGATTATAGAATCTGAAGGATGTTTTTGAAAACACCCAGGAATTTCAACAGAATACAGTGACCCAATGGAATAAGCTTTCACAACTTTTCCACAAACTCTATTGCATTTTGATTTTGATTGAGCTCATTCTTTGAGTTAATATCAAGGAAGATGATTAACACCGTGCTGCATCCAATTCATAATAGGTTCTGTTGTGAAAGAAGTTAAACTCTGCAATTTCATCTGAAGGTTTTCAGTTTTTTTTTCTTCTTCTTCTTTTCAGGATGGGAAATTATTGTGGGAGCAGGAGCTGTACAATAACTTTGTATATAATAGTCCTAGAGGATATTTTCATACCTTTGCTGGAGATGTGAGTCTGAATGTCTTTGAATACCTACTTTAAAATGCCTTTGGTTTTAACAGTACCTTTTTTTAATGTAACTGAGGTTATTAATTCATTCCGTAAATTGTTTATAAAAGTACAATATTACCTGTGCTCCTTGAAGCTTTTTAAGATTATTTATAAAAGGAATTTTTTTTGGTACCTCGACTAGAAAATTCAATTCATAGTACAGAAGCATAAAATATGGTTCTTTATTTTCAACTCTCTTTAATGAAATTACATTTTGACTTGCAGATGATGTTTGTGAAGTATCGTATATTCTTAGAACACAAATTTTCCTCTCCCCCCCTTTGATTTCAAGCTACAAAATTTTGTTCAAATCTGTTAGCCATGATTTCTAGAAACTTGAGTAGTAGATAGATGTTCCCAAGATGGAATGTTTCACCAAGACTTGGTTCCAAATTTGCAGTGATGCTGTTTTCTTGTTACACCTTTAGAAGGTGTAAGACAACATTTAAGAAAGCCTTTGAAACATTTTCTTAGTGATGGGTGGGGGAATATTAATGTTTTTCAGACTTGTCAAGTTGGTCTTAATTTTGCTAATGAAGAAGAAGCTAAACTATTCCGCAAAACAGTAACAGATTTACTTGGACGACGGCAGAGAAAATCTGGTAAATATTCAAATTAATCTTAAATTTAGGCTTGTTTATGTTGATCTTGGGGGGAGGCAGAAAGCTACTGCTATGTCTGAAAGCTACTGGAGGCAGTACTCCCATATTTATATTTTGAACTGATTGTGCTATTAAACCGTACTGCTTTCTCTATTGTGCGAAAATTAGTATTTTGCTGAAATAACTTAACTTGGTGTTCTGTGCTATGAGTTTCCATGTAAACTGAGACCCCAAGGTTGTGGTGACTGAAAATATAGATCAAGGGGAAACAAAAATGACAATGGGAAAACTAGAATATCTCTCTAAGCTGTTTTCACATTCAACTAAACCCTCTTTTAGCTCTGGGCTGTTTATAACTGATTTGTTTAAATTCAGCCAGAGTGGGTTGTAACAAAGATTTTACCATCTGGTATGTTCAGTAGTTCATGTGAATGAATGTTTGGCACTGATCCAGCAGTTAGTAGAGAAATATCTTTTATTCAGAACTAGTGATCTTGGCTCAGGCCACGAACGGAAGACATAATATGCCTATACTGTCCTTAGCAGCTCAGGACGGTGAAGCACAGCATGCTTTTTGCCAGCTGTAAGATGCCTTGGGAATGTGGTCAGTGCTTTTAAAGGGAGCTCAGGCTTCCTACAGATCTTGTCTTGGTCATTTTCCAGGGAACCCATAAACAACTTATCTGTCTGACAGCCATATGTCCATGAAGGATAAAGTGGTACAAAACATAGGCTGGGAACACATGGATGTGTTCAGGCTTTCTGTAAGCTGTAGTGTGGACTTGTGTTCGAGCTACAGGATGTGTTTTTTTAGTCCATTCTGGAATTCAATTGCACTAGCAATGCAGTGTACTGTAAAAGGAGGAAGCCCTCGTCGTGGAGAGCCATCCTTGCAAAGTGTTCTTGGGAACATGCATCATCTGTATGTATTCACTTGGCTTTCATTAAGGTATGGTGACTCAGTAGCAGAGCACTTGTTCCAGGAGCTTAAATGACTTCTTTAAGATTCCCTCTGCTCAGAATAAGTTCATAAGGTTTCATGAGGAGAGGTGGGATCATTAATAATATTTCTCATATTCATGGTGTAAAAGTAATTTTGCATCTACTGTTCCCGAAGTTTTGTTATATGTCTGAAACACAGTGCTACAGTGCACAGACATGATTTGGGAGGAAGAATGTTTATATTATTGGCCACAGCAAACTTTTTCTGAAAATAGTGGTTCGGTCAAACCTCCTGTTCACAGTTTTCCTTCCACATAGAGATTTTTTTTCCATAGGACCACATACATTTTTCTCATTTACTCTTTGAACTAATATCTTGGTTTCTGTGCTCAAGCTCACGTTACAGGATGAGTTTACTCCATCTATTGTCATAACAAACAAACAACTCCCCCTCCCCAAATACTTACAATTTCAAGACAACTTTATTTAAAAACAAAAACAAACAAAAAACTCTCGAAACAAAACACTTCAAGAATTTAAAATACTCATGAGATTCCTTAGTCAAACCACCAGATGGAGTTCTGTATTTGTCATTGTGACTGTTTAATTGTGCTTTTAAAATAACAGGCTTTGCACTTGCTCACATCAAAGCTGTTTTGTTCTCGGTGTTTATGTTTTTATTTGTTTATATATACATGCTTATATAAAACATTTTTATATAGATTTATATATAACACAAATGGTATAAAAGTTGTATATTATTTATAATGGGTATATATACATTGTATATATATTCTAATGCATCTTACCTTCTCAATCACCAAGGTAATAGTGTGGTAGTTTTGCTGCTTTTCTATTTTAATGGGATTTTTAGTCCCATGCCTTCCAAAATATGTTTCATTTCATAGCAGTGCACCTGAGATGCTTTCAGCTCAGATGAATACTCCACGTGATCATTTAGCTGCCTGTTATACCATTCAGGGCTTGCTAAGAGACTTTTCCAGGAGTCTTATGGAAAGATTATGTTGTTGGAAGGTAGCAGGAACAGCAGTTCTCACTCACAGAGCTATGACTTGGTGCTGAGGCTAGTAGACAAAAATACTAACAGCTGAGAGACAAGGCAACAGGGTTCTGCTCTTCCACACTCTGCATGAAATGCACTCCAGTATACAGACAACCCCCGAGTAAGTGTGTCTGGAGTTCCAGAGAGGTGAAAGTTTGGCTTCAAGTAGACAATTTACAAAAGCTTGCAAAAGTACAAAATATCGAGTAGAGAACAGAATGAGGGAGAAAGGCAGAGAAAGAATTCTTGATCTGTTTTCCTAATCTTTGTAATATTATGCTGGTTTTCATCTAGCTAAATTCTGGTGTGGATTGGGGTTTTTGTTTTGGGGGTTTTGGTGGTAGTGGTTTTTTTTCTGGTTTTGGGGTTTTTTTTAGTCAAATTCTTAGCCTTAAGTTAGGAAAAAATTACTATAATTTGTTAATTTCTTGGTAGATTTACCTAAATAGTCTCTCCATTTACTTATTAAACCAATCCCAAACAGTTCCCCCAGTAAGCAGGGTGAACAATGTTTCTCTTCTCAGTGCATATCACTGTAGTACAGTCTTACTTTGGGTATTCTTGCACATAGATACCATTAGTTTGTCTTTTTATTATCTTGCCTAAGAAATGTTAATATGTGGACACACACACAAGTGCCTTCTCTGCATGCTGAGCACTCAGCCCTAAAAGACACTTGTTCTTAACTGCAAGTACTTTCTAAAGTAGGGGGACTTCTTAACTAATTTTTATGGACTGCTTGTAGCTCATGTGTGGAAGTTCTGTTAACCCTCTCTGAAACTGCCTTTTTCCTCCACAAGCTTTAACTCCTGAGTCCCTTCATAAGACACTTCATAAGTTTCAGGCTGCATACTTAATATGGACAGGGATTTATTGGTTTGGGTTCAGTTTTTTTCTTTCATCTTTGTCTACAACTTTTGGTTTTGCTGCCTGGGTGACAAGGGCATCTCTAAAGTGCTCAGCTTGCATTGGATTGAAGTCTCAGCAGAGATTATTCTCATTTCCAGGAATGCTTGTGGAAGGGAGCTGTGTTTTTTGGCCATAAGCATCTGCTGATGTTGATCTATTTTCAATCAGTAGGCATCTTCGTTTTTCAAAACAGAGAAATCCACCACTCAACAGGGTGGTCATCTGCACTTCAGGAACAAGAGTTCGTAGTTTCTTGTCAGCGGTAGGAACCACATAAGAGATCTGGTCTCTCTGGGGCCACAAATTAATCTATCCAGCAAAAATTACAGAAGTCTTTAAAATGTCTTGCTCTGTTTCCCACTGTTTTTTCTCTTGAACTATTTCTTCTAATGAAAATTGCAGTGGATTCCCATGATTTGACACAAGACACTTAGTGCTTCCTAGGAATATCTCCTGCTTTTGCCAGCTTCCCATCCTGTGCCAGATGACTTGCAATGAGTTCTGCACTCTTCTTTGTTGTCTCTGAATTGTTAAATAAAACTCTAATTATGGTCTAAAGGTTGAGTTTGGGTGGTTTGTTCTTTGCTTGTTTTTGAGACAGTATGAGATGTGGTTTCTTAAACTGAATATTCTAGGAAGAGAAAGCACATTATTTGTCCAAAAGGCCTTTTTTTCTCTTTCCTTTTTTTTCTTCTCTTTTTTTTTCTTTTTTCTTTTCTTCCCCTCAGACCTGATACCTTATGCTGAGACATCCTTACAGAGGTTCTCCCTATCTATGTCTGAAACTTACCTGCTGTGACCTAAGAGTAAACTGTCTGTCTTTAGAAGGGCTTGTTCATCAAAAGCTGATTCCCTGTGGGTTTTGGTCTCCTTCCCATGAAAGTTTCATGATCCTGACAGATTCTTTTATTCCCTGAAGATCAGATTCATATGAGGCTGACTTGCCTTGCACACTTAGGATTGTATATTTTTTGAGTTTTTTAAGTATTCCTAGGACAAGGTCAGCACCATCTGTGGAGGCATCTTCTCTCTTTTATTATGTTTATGAGTCTGGAAAAATAGAAGTTAACAGTTTTTCTGGGCCTTGCTGAAAAGTGAAATGCCTGTTACAAGTTCTTATTACAGAACTTTTGGGAGCCCCTGTTAGTTTATGGATACTCTAGGTCTGAAAGGGAGGGATGTACATGTGGTTTTTGATGTGGTGACATGATAAACTGATTGCCTTTATGGGCACTGCTAAATCCAAAATTCTTAAGAGTGTGGTCTAGATACAAAAATGGTGTAAATGTGTACTGGGGGTGTAGGAATTAATAGTAAGTGAAAGAAATCTCCTTTAAAGGCAAATTTACCATTATACGCTGAGAATATTGAGGTGTGAAATGTTTACATTTTAAATCATCAAGCCAGATTATTCGTGGTCTGTGAAACAGTGTGGTGCTGTGAATAGAATATCATATTAGGACTAAGGAGATTCTAGTTCTTTTCCATATTGTTCCTATTGTTATACCTGTTGGATAACATAGGTGAAGTGTCTTGCCCCTCTGTATCCTGTTTTCTTTGCATACAGCAAAAAGTAATTAAATTTTAGTTTCTGTGGGAGAACAGTACTCTGTAATATAAAGTGCTAATTATATTTCAAGCAAAAATGAAAGAACAGTTTCATTCAGTGGACATTGGAAAGAATAATGCTTAAAAAAACTTACTTCAATAGGTTGTACTAAAACAGATGCTCTTTGAATATTTCGCTTTAGTTCATAGTTGGAATGCCTGAAATAGCTCCGTAGCTATTACCTTATGGTTCTGCTCAGTTTACACACTTGAAATCAGTGTTTATTATCTAAAATTGGGGTTTTATTCTTCTGTAATGCTTTTTTTTCAACTGCAAAAGTAGACTTTAGGGATATTAATAGATTCCTAAGTTTGTGGTTAAGGTCATTGAAAGCTTCACTAGAAAGTAAAATTTAGAATTAATTTTTTCTGTGATACCTATGATTAAATAGCTCTTTTTCTTTTTCAACAGAAAAAAGACGAGACCCACCAAATGGTAAGCTTTTTGCATGAATCACTGCATTTTATTTTTTCTTACTGCTGTCATTTACTGTTATGTATAGATTTGTTTCAGGCTTGATTAGGACAGTCATGTAGTGGGAAAAGCAGTAAACTCTTGTTCTGCACGTTACTTTATTTCTTTTGTTTCTGTTCTTTGGTATTTAGTTGTGGCTTGAAAGATTTGTGGCTTAGCTGGCATTTGTAAGGAATGTTTTTGGAGGAACATGTTTTGTTGCAAATAGGATAGAGGGCCCTTCATCTTAAACCGAGAAGAAATCTTTGTACCTTGCATTTGCTGCTTGGTCTCCAGAATATATATGTATAGGATCACTATACACAAAGTTAGTCTTTTTGTCTTAAAGGCAGGCATAATGATAATGGATTTCGTAGAACATACATAAAATTTCAATTTCAGTGGATCTGGCTAACCATGTAACACAGTAATTTAGTTGTATGTCACATGCTTGTCAATATTAAACTTTTTTTTGAATGAAGAATTATTCGAATCTATTTGCCTTCAGGCATATGTCTCCCTAGCATAAAGATAAAGGTTCCTCAGGAGATCCTGTCATTAAATTAATGGAAGGAGTCAAATTATGTATCAGTTTCATCCAGAATTTTTTTACCGTCTGTTCTAAAATCAAGTGAAAAATGCACATCAGTGAATAAGTTTGGTGTCTTTGATTTCTGAATTCACACTGAAGTTAAAAAGTGATTTCTCCTGTCATTTCTGTTTGTGATCCAGATCACAGGTCATATCACTGTGAGTTTGCTGCTTGAGCAAGGGTGCAGTCAGCTGATCTTCTGAGGTCCCCTTAAGGCCTGAAGTAGTAGTCTTAACATTTGTACTAACCAAGTCATTCAAGCATCCCTGTAGGTCACCAAAATACATAGTGCTAAACTAATCCTGCATTATGGGAACTACTGATTACCTTTTATATACCCAAATAAAGCCTCCCTCATACATCTCAAAAAATTGCTTTTTCTTTTTCATAAACATTAAGTTTTGACAATGTTCCGGCAATCATCAGTTTAGACCAGGCAGTTTAGTGTAGATTCCTTCAACTGTGACTGGGTTGGTAAGTTTTGAAACACTTGTAATAATACAATCTGTGATTGCCTTGCCAGCTTTTCTGAGCTTTCAGAAAGTTTTAACTAGTGTTTTGCTCATCCCTGATAGCAGCGTCTGCAGAGCAGATGAGAATTAAAACAGCAGTGGTGACCGTGTAGTACTACCTACCACAAAAAATTAAGCCTTTGTCTCTATTGTAACACAAACAATTTGTTTGTCAAAACTTGAAGTCATTGTCCCTATGCCTTTATCCTGAACATTCTGTGGAAGGCATAGGGTTTATGCTCAGTCACTTCAAAGATTTCAGTATATCTGCTTTTTAATAAACTTCCCCTGGGACATCCACATAGTCTTTCACAATCTGTCCATTTGCCTTTTCTGATTCTGTCAAATTCTGTAGTGCCTGACTTCTCTGCTGGCAAGGAGTTGTGTGACCATGGCCTCAGTAGTCACAGGCCTCAGATGGTTATATTCTATACAGACTTTGCATTTCAGTATTTGGAATTAATACTAGAACAGATATGTACTATCAGCATGTAACTGGAAAAAAAACTCTCATACCTGTTGTAGTATCAGTTAGATTTTGTTTTACTCTACATGCAGTGAAATCCTATTGGGGAAAAAAAGATGTAACACCTGTTTTTTTTTTGTGCTGGGTATTAATGCATGATTACCTCTAAAACGAAAAACGAGAACAGTCACATTTCTGTACTCACATGATTCTTGCTTGAAATACTGTGGGGAATTTTGTTTTAGTGGGGCTTGTTAGTCTGGATTTTCTGCATACATTGAAGCTGCATGGAAAAAGCTTGCTGTCTTTTTGTGTGACGTTTTCAATGATACGGATTTAAGATTTTTTTTGTAGAATTGCAGGATTAAACTCAAATTGGCATTAACAGTTATGTAAAATGTATTAGTCTGTAATTTCCTGGGATTTATGTTCTACTCATGTGTAACAGCTAGGTCTCTTTATGCAAATAAAGAAGAGTTATTGTGATTGAACTGACCTCGGTGAAATTCTGGATGAAATAAGGATTTGTCAGAGTATTAGGTTTTGAGAGAATATTGAAGAACCGTGTGGCAGAATTTTGTTTCAGCTGTTAACTAGAACAGTTTGCATATTTTGTAGGGCTGTCTGTAGTCTGGGACAGATGCCTAGAGAGGTTCTACATAAAATACAGAGAATTTCCTAGAGTTAACATTTCATAATGTTCTGTACAACATTTTCTGGAGCCCCTTCTGAAGATGTCACAGATATTGATAACAGTGGATGCTTAACGCCACTGTACTGTCAGGTGCTTCCTAATGATGAGCTCTATATGCCTCTCTCATCTTCACTTATTGAGCTTTCTGCACCTGATGGGGAAGGTGCATGTCTTATGATGGGAAAAATTTTACTGGATATAAATATGGCAGTTCTAGAAGAGTGCAATTCTTTCCAAGATACTTTTATCCCTCGTGGACATCTAAGGTCTAAACCTGACGGTAAGAAAAATTTTCATCCTTAAGTTTACTGTGACCTCTTGTATGAATATTATCAGTATCAAGGAATCAGGCTATTAATCCTTGATTTGAGCTCAACTGATTAAAACATCAGTTTGCAGATGGCTGCTGCTTTACATGGTTAAAACCATGTGTGGTTAGTTCAGGATTTTAAAAATACACCTTTTTGCATGTAAGAATATGACAAATTTACTAGCATTGTAAAGGTACCAGTTTCTTTTTGAATGTAAGTACAGCTATTGAAACTGTAAATATCAATATAATAGGTGAAAACAGAACATATAACAGAGAAAATATAATAGGTGATTAAAGTGAAAATTAACTCCTACTGTTTTTAGTTTTGTACCTAATGAAATTACAACTATAGTTTTCAACTCATCCTGAAGATTTTACTGAACTTCATTTGTTGATTTAATAATATTTGATGATTAGTCAATTCAGTACTAATTTTAACAATGCAAATTGTTTTGCGTAATGATATGGGGTCAGTTTATATTGTGGTATTCTCAAAGGACAGTTGTCTATATCATAATATTTCTAGACCAAAGTATTTGTGCTTAGCAGAAAACATTTTAGAAATTCTTTTTTCTGCAGTTTCAATGCAGTTTTAAATCTTGTCCCTTAGGACTCCTACAGGAATGAAGGAGTTGTCATGTTTTAGATGAGTTTTGTCTAGCCCAGTGTCGTGTTTCTGTTTCTTGTCCTGGCTAGTAGTAGATGCTTTCCACTGAGGTATTTAACTACAAATATGTTATCCATTGTATTGTTTACTTCTCCTTTCTGATTTTTTACTTTAGACTGTGAACATAAGGCTTGTTGGTCCTTTCAAAATGCTTAGAGAGCTTTTGAATTATCCATACAAAATGCAGTTATGAAAAAATAGTGTCAAAATAAGGTTCAGATTTATTGAAGTCTAATTAGACTTTTTTTATCATCTTCCCAATAAGACTGGGTGCATGAGTCTTAATTTAGTTAATTTTCAAACCACTGGGTCTTAACTTACAGGATAGTAGAGAACATTTTCAAACTATTTCTGGCCAAACTAGTCTTAAATTAACTGTTTAATCTCATTCTTCCAAAACTGAAATTACTTACCCTTTTTGCAGATTTCTTTAAAAATATGCCTATGTGTACGTATACATATTTAAGAGTTGGACTCAATGATCCTTGTGGGTTCCTTCCAACTCTGAATATTCTGTGATTCTGCTCTGCCCTCAATGTATATTGTAAATGCATAATTATCTCTTAGTATTTAAATACTGCTATTAGTTGCTTATGTTAAGAGTTATCTTCTGTCAAAGCTAAAAAACCTGAGTGGAACATGTGCTAGGTATGTTTATTTGCTAGTACTGCATAAATAACGTAATATTAAAATGCTGAAATTGGCAGGAGTATAATTCATATGCATATTAAATAACTAGAGTAATAATTCAGAATTGTTTATAATGAACAAGGTTTGAGAACATAAATTAAGCATGCTGATTATGAATTGTATTTCTGGTGCTTTTTTTACTATCTCTTCAAGCTGTTTCTTATCTGGGACTTCATTATTTTGAAAACCTGTCAAGGAGTAAGACATAAGAAATCCTAAATAGTTCTGTAGATATTGTCCTATATTTGAAGGCAGTACTGTGTCCAGAGCAGCATTCTGAAGTTGTTGTGATGTTCAGTTTCTGTATGTGAAGGCATTTTCACTTGGGGCTTATTAAGCAAAGGTTCTGTCTCCTTTTGGGTCAGGTTAGTGTGCTGCCCAGGTAATGGCTGCCTGGGTGTTTCAGTGTTACTGTTTATCCAAGTCACTTCTTTGATCTTGTCTAGGATTGTAGCTGTGTTGTATCTTAGTGTGTCTCATTTCATGTATTCTGTGCAGATGGCAAAAAAAAAAAATTCTAGTTTAGAAAATTTTTCTGTTGCTTTATTCTAGCAACACTTTTCTTCATCAGATAACTTAGTTTCTGCATCTGACATCTGGAAAACAGCTGGATGCATGTTTGTAGATCTATGGCTCCATTACAAGTACTCTACAGCTCAGAAAAACCTCCCAAAGTTTGTAGATTAAATATGGCTTTGTTGAAACACAATAGTAAAAATTCTGTACTTTACCTTCACAGGCCCAAATCTACCAATGGCAACTGTTGATATCAAAAACCCAGAAATTACAACTAACAGATTTTATACTCCACAAGTCAACAATATTTCATATACCAAAGAAAAGAAGAAAGGAAAAACTAAAAAGAGAAGATTGACAAAGGCAGATATTGGAACACCATCTAATTTTCAGTAAGTACTTCTCTGAGTTTGAGTTGGGTTTTTGATTGATGGATTTTTTTCTTCTTTAGGGGAGTTTTGGCTTTTGGTCTTGTTTTTTTTTTGTGTCAATTACATTGCAAATGCTCAAGGCTTGAATGCGTGACTGTTCTGTGTAACCTGAACTGCAGCGAATGCTAGCTGGAATGGTGTTTAAAAGCAGGTTGGCTTATACACAGGTGAGGAGTTTACTGCAACTGTAAACAAAAAGTAACTTGCTATCCAAAATTAATTTAGGAAACAATTTAGCTGCATAGAGATGCCATATTGAAGTTGTCAGCTCAATGGAGACTCATATTGAACCTCAATGGTCAACTCTAACACTGTTATTCTTACAGCTGTGCTTGCTTAGCTGTGTTTTGTCATGCAGAATTCACATGCAGATCCTGACTTGTCATAACAGCAGAAATAACTTGCCATATTTTTATCTTTGGCTTTCGGTTTACAAACTTATTCTGATGTGTGGTCTAGGACCCGTATCTTGTGATGGAAGTACAGCATGCATGTATACATCTTTGAGGAATGGGTTGGATTTTTCCTAATGTCATTTCATATGTATCTTTAATCTTTTGGAGTAATGATATATAATTTTAAACTTCACTTTCATGAAACTTGGTTTTGGTCACTTTGCTGAACTAATTGTTGTATTCCTGAAAAATAATTGATGTCATAATCTTCTGCCTTTTAAAGTAAGTGTACTTTATTTGCTAAAGCAACAGCAATTTAAAGAGCTTGAGTTAGTTACAGGAAAAGATTGGTTTCTGTGAAGCATTAGAAAACCGGTGTGAGGTTTACATGCCAAGTCTCTGTCTTGTTCTTTTGAACCATTATATTGCATCACTTGCACTGATGTGCTTTCCCAGAATAAAACTTTGTAATGCTGACATTACCAGTTACAGTAATGTTACTGCACAGTGTTTTGAGAGAGTGCTCTGTAGAATGGGATAGTGGACAGAAGAATGGAACAGGAGGCAGGCTAAAACACTTCTCTATCCAGACTGTGCTTGGACAATTCAGGCATCAACCTTGTTGCTACTGATCTGAGTATCAGTGAAGTGCTGCATCTGTTAGTGTCACTTAAAAATACAGAAAAAGAAGGAAAAGAGAAATGAAGAGTGAGGAGTACTTGGTAGCTGGTCACTCTTGTGGCTCTACTGATGCCGACTTCAGCATTCGTGGCCAAAATTTGCATTGGTGTGTCATACCTCTGTTAGGAATTTGTGGAGGGAGTTGTGCAGCAGCATAGATATAAAATGACTTTGAGGCTTTGTTTATGATGTCTATCAGGTTCTGATGTAGAAAAGCTGAGAGTAAGGTGATAAAATATTTAATGAAGTTCAAACAAAAGATAGGTTCCAATATCATTAAATGTAACGTTAAGGTGGAAATAGTGAATCTTTCCAAAAGAAGTCTATTAAAACTTTGTTTTGTTTGGTTAAAGGTCTACTTAATTTTCCTGACGAGTGCGACTGTGTCATCTTACTATGTAAGATACTGTAATTGCTGGGTTTGTACAGACATACAGAAACTGGCATTTGCTATTGTTAGGCAAATATGCCAGTAGGATAACTTATAACTTGTATATAACTTGGGCTGTGATGCTGGTGAAGACCAACACAGTCACTGTTTATCAATAGATAAATATCAGTCGATAAAATTTTTAAATGCCTTCGCTTACACAGAACCGTAGACAAAAAGAAACACAAAATGTGGAGTTCTGGTAACATTATGGTTCTGTCTTCCAGTAGCAGTAGCATGAAGTAGCTTGGAGGGGCACAAAACTGGTCTGCCTTTTTAGTTGATTATAGCATCACATAAAGTAATACCTTATTTGCCACACAAAATGGCAATTGAAAACAGTCCAGACTTCTCTTTGAAAGAAGTGAGTGGGAGAAAGGTGATAAGAGAACATACAGTGATGACAGGGAGGAGGAGATTTCCCAGCTACATAGCAGTGAAGACTGGCAGTAGCTCAAAGTCCAGTTGCTGTATAAAGGCTAAACTTATCATTGATCTCTTTGCAGTTCTTCCATCATTGTCTGTATGCATCACAGGGTGCATGGAGCCTTCATGTTTTGCTACAGACCATAACCTAAGGGGAGAAATGAATTCTCCCCCTGGTCTTCTGGACACAAGACAAAAAGCAGGAGTAAAGGATGTTTTACTATTCCATTCTCAAGTGAGGCATTGAGGAGTAAGAATTGCTTAATGTCTCAATGAGACTGGAGGTAGAAGCTGGTCGTAATCTCCAGTTATCTTGGTTTCCTGTTATTTTGGCTAACAAGGTCCTTTTTATGCTGATTAAATGGGCTTTTCTGCTTTTTTAGACACATTGGACATGTTGGTTGGGATCCAAACACAGGTTTTGATGTAAGTAATTGAATAAGTTATTCAAGACACTGAGTGATTAAAACTTTAGAGACTTTTTAATGTAAATTATAAAGATTGGCATTAAATCAACAGTTAACTGTACATCAAAGTAGTTATAAATTGTGATTTATAATGTGATGTAAACAGATGTTCAAGTAGAAGGGAGTAGGAGGGATCTGGGACTAAGAGGGAAAAGATGCAAAACTTTGGGTTTTGTGCAGGGTACTTACATCTCCTACAATAGTACTTTTTGACTTGAAAAGTCAACCCAGAGGCATGTACTTGGCTTTGCTATTCAGCTCTGTGGTTTGTGGGGTTTTTTCCCCCCCAATACAAATGATATTTTAAAAATATCCTCACATTTCAAGTTACTTAAAACTAATGTATCTGACTTGCAGGTGAACAACTTAGACCCAGAACTGAAAAATCTGTTTGATCTATGTGGAATTTCAGAGGCTCAACTAAAAGACAAAGAAACTTCAAAGGTCATATATGATTTCATTGAAAAAACAGGAGGTGTGGAAGCTGTTAAAAATGAACTGCGCAGACAAGGTGGGATTCCTCTTATTTCCACATAAAAATTAGCAGGGCATTTTTTGCCTTATGGATTAAAGTAGAAACTGTTGATGGTGAGCAGTTTTTGATCCTCTTCTCTGGACTTCATGTCGCTGCAGTTGCACTGGATTTCACGTTTCCTTACACTATACACTATGTAAAAATGTTCATGCATCACCCATGAGAGTACCTGTCCCTCAGGAATAAGGGTATTTATGTCAGTTAAGTAATTTCTGGTAGCACTTAGTCTGACTGCAAAGCTACACAGTATGTTTGATATAGATTTTTCAGAATGTATATGTTACGTATTTATTTGTAATTTCAATCTTACAAATAAATTAAAATCTTGGACACCATAATGCTGTTGTCAGCTATAGCGGTAGTACCTTGGCTGGCAGGTTGTATGTGTGGTGCCCATTTACCCTGGCAGGACTATGTAGTGGGCCTTGCAACAGTTCAGACTTGAAAATTCTGTATTATTTTTAAAGGTTTTTTTTTTTCCTAATTTAAAGTTAAAAATAATAGTTTTGAGCATGCTTTTGCTGCAGGAAAATTCTCAAATAAGCTGTTGCCTGCCTAACCTTTAAATATGATCTCAGCCAGTGCATTATCTAGTGGAACACAGCAAGTCAGTGTTACGTTACACTGCTAGTGTCAAACTTTCAAAAATTTGCTTAGAACACTTCTCAAGAGAAATCTAATGTAGATGCCATTGAAATTATAGCAGTTTGAAACCACTGAGTAAATAGCTCAATAGACTGAAGAGATACAGATTCAGGATACAATGACTTGTTACATTTATTCCTTAGGTCCCCCACGGTGGAGCGGTATGTATTTGAGCTGGCATCTAAGCATATGCTTCAAAGTATTCATGCTGTTGTGTGATTTCTTTCCTAGATGAGAAACCTTAGTCTGCATCTGTTTGACTATAATTTTTAGTATTGCAGTCAAACTTCTTAGTTGAATTGCAAACAAAACTTCAATTTTGATTTTTTCTCCATAGTAAATCTCTCAGCTTCTTTATATAATATTAACTCTGTGTAAATGTTTACAGAGTTGTTGATCCCAGACTGCTAACCATAAAATTGGATTGAGAATACTTCCCTTGGAGTCTTATGACTAGCTTAAAATCTTTAAAAAATGCCTATTTTTCTATTTCATATGTGTTAACTTCACATTATGGCCACTTGCATGTATGCAATTAAAAGGAAAACTGCCTCTTCTTTGACATGCATGATGATAATCTACCTCTGCGCTTTTTGATAGAGGTAGATAAAATACTGCAGTATTTCGGTGCACTTATCCACAATTATGTTATTTAATGTGTAGGCTTGACTGCTGTTTGAAGTGTTCTTTCTCAACTGAAACATATTTTTGTGTTTATTGCAAGAATTTCTGTGCTTTCATTTCTACTAGGCTGCTGACTAGAGAGTTGCAGGCAAGTCATTCTTCTGAGATCCTGTTTCCCCTACCCTTTCCCTAGTTCTGGTACTGGTGGTTGGTTTTTTTTGGTGACAGTACTATCAATAAAAGATTGTACAAACTTTTTTGTTAATATACTGCACAGATTAATGTGCATTTATAAAAAACCAAATTATTTGCTTGCTTTGCTTGTACCATCTGTTTGAGGGGGAAGGGAGAGAGGATGAGGTAATGATACTCCCTTCCTGCTGCTCCTCCTTCATTGCACTTCAGTTGAGTGCAGACAGGCTGAACTCTGTTTCCATAGATTGGACGTGGAATATCTCTCTAGATATGATGCAAATAAACCCCTTCCCCGCAGGAAAACTTAAGCTTTGTTTTTAAAATCTACAGACAGTACAGACTTTGGGGCACGACAGTATTGAATATCTTCTAAGTAATGCAAAAAACCCAGCTGTCTGTAGTGCTTGCCGAGTTGTTACATTTGATAATACCGGCCTCCAGTGGCCGGAAAGGAAACTACAGCCATGCCAGCCAAAAAGTGGTGGGAGTTTTTAAAATCAAGAATGTTGGCAGTATGTCTCTTGGAAAATAGATGAAGTTTGAGATGATTCTCCCTGTGTTGTTCTTTTGAAGGGATAGAAAAAACCAGAGCAGTTTGTGGAACTTAAGAACATAGCACGTGATTTTAGAAGCAATATTTAAAGATGATCAGGGATGGAGGCACTGAGATACTAGTGTCTCCTGCTTCCTCAAAATCCCATTTTTAGGGATGTTCCCTCTCTATTCCAGTGTAGCCAGCCTGCTTTCTCTGCAAGTAAAATGAAGGGGATAACAGAAGAGTAAAAAAAGTATCTTCTTCAGTGTAACACCCTTTCTGTTATAAAAGCATATGATATAAAATATGAATTCTCTTAGTTATATGACAGCACCTGGATTATTAATTAGTTACATGTAACAACCACATGATCTAAAGTACCATAAGTCATTAGATGCCTAATGAAAGAGGAAATGAAACAGTGCTATTTAAAATGCCATTATCAAAACAAGTACATTTCAAGGCCACTTCACAGAGAAATGATCCTGTGTGTAGCTCTGAAGTTGTTTCCTTTCCATGGTCCCTGCCATAAAGATATTGTTGGAAGTAATTTTCAGTAAAAGGGACTAAGAGTCAGCTTATGCTGCATTGAAATACATTAGTAGGGGGTTTTTTTGTTACTAGAAGATACTGCTTCAAAAAATATTTGCTTTTGTAGCTACCTAATAAAATAATGGATAGATTATAAAGTGGAGATTGTATCTTTTACTTTATTGTCTAAAACCTTTTTCATTCTCTTCTAGCTAAACAAAACTTTACAGGTTTCTTTTGAATTTTAATCAGTCTTTTTATGTATTAGACTTGCTTCCTGCAGTGTTTGACTCTTACAAAATTCACAGCAGACCTAGAAACATATACAGCTTGGTTTGCCGTAGAGGCATATCTTTTATTCAGCTGTATTCAGTTTAGTCCAGAATTGGTGAAATTTGCACAGGCACAGAGATCCTTGCAAAAGGCAAGGCACAGCCTGTTTTCTTTTTCTGCTAGTCTCTGAAAGACTCATGGGTCTTGAGTAGCAGGTAATTTGAAGTTGCTTTGTTTCATTTCAGCTCCACCTCCGCCACCACCATGCAGAGGAGGACCCCCTCCACCTCCACCACCACCTCCCCATAGCTCCGGCCCTCCTCCTCCCCCTGCCAGGGGCAGAGGGGCACCACCTCCACCTCCTTCAAGAGCTCCCACAGCAGCACCTCCACCTCCGCCTCCATCGAGACCTGGTGCAACAGTGCCCCCACCTCCTCCAAACCGGATGTATCCTCCACCACCGCCAGTGCATTCATCATCTGCACCGTCTGGCCCTCCTCCTCCACCACCGCCACCAGCAAGTGGGTCATCTGTTCCTCCACCCCCTCCACCTCCTCCTCCCCCTCCCGGCCCTCCACCACCACCAGGCCTTCCTTCAGAGGTTGATCACCAGCTTCCAGTTCCTGCGGGAAACAAAGCAGCACTCTTGGATCAAATCAGAGAAGGAGCTCAGTTAAAGAAGGTAGAACAGAACAGTCGACCAGTGTCCTGCTCAGGAAGAGATGCACTGCTAGACCAGATACGACAGGGTATACAGCTGAAATCTGTGAGTAAAAACTGTTTATCATCCAGGTCCCTTTGGGACTTGCAAATGGCTGCAGTACTGCAGTGTAAACAGTAAATTGTGGTTCTGCTTTGAGGTGGATTGTACATTGTAGAGTTTCTGAAATGATGACTTAAGCAGGAGTACTGACAAAATGCAGAGAACTCACAGTTCCTGTAGATGAGTATTAGTACATGAAGTTATCCTTGTTTCAAACTCATTTCTCACTTTTGTGTAAAGCTTCAAACATAAATTCTAAAACAATGATACCACAGTATCACAGCTGTACAGAACTTTTGCAAGAATTATGAACGATAGATGCTCTTCTGAATACTTCAGTACAATCATCTAAACAGCTGCAGGGGATGAGTTTAGGATAATGTTTATTTCCATCTTAAAATGGACCTGTGCTCTGCAAATGTTGAAGCTTCTAAGAAGGTGTCTGTGTCTGGAAAAATGCTGCCCATGAGAGATGCCTCTGCTGTTCCTGCTGCAGCATAGGCTTTTATTGTTACTATTTCTTACCGGTGTCATTGAATATCTTAAAAATAATTTGCCTGTTAGTGCTTTCTTTTTTTTGCCATTCTTCCGCACTTGAGACTTCTGATTTAAAAAGCATGAGGATGTGTTCATATTTATTTGCTATTAGAGGTATGCAGTATTGATTACTTTCAGAAGGGATTATCAGCCTGAAGCAGTCTCAGTAAACAAACCCAAACAAGAAAAGATATTTTGTGGTATATACCAAAGATAAAATAAATAAGGATTACCCAGCCACACAAATCATGCCTAAACAACCATATTAAGAAGCTTTCCTTTAGATGAGCACTCACTTTGTGATAGTCAGAGCTGAAATATTAAACCTTGAGTATGGCTAACTACAGTTGTGTTATATGGTAAAAAAGAAAAAGTTGGGTTTTTTTTATAAATAAAGACTTTGAAGTTAGAGCTAAAGGAACAAGCTGGTTTACACTTTCTCATTAACCTTATAAGGAGGTTTCTCTCGAAATACACAAGTTCCGTTTTGCTAATTGCATCTTTCTATTCTAACCTTTTTTCCAAGGTATCTGATGGTCAGGAGAGTGCACCACCTACACCTGCACCCACCTCAGGAATTGTGGGTGCATTAATGGAAGTTATGCAGAAAAGGAGCAAAGCCATTCATTCTTCAGGTGCGTCTGATGGCATTTTTCTGACCTCACGGTGTCAGGTTTTCAAGCATTACCATTTCTATTCATCATAAAATACTGTTGGAGAAAAGCAGGGATTTCAGCATATAGTACAGTACAGAATGCTCTCAGCATACCCTTGGGGAGGGGCTTCTGAATTACTGGAGTGTAGTAATTTGCAGGAATCCTGGATTAAAAGTTACCATTAGGTAATATTAGGTTAATATTTCTTTTTTCTTTTACAAGAAAGATTTCTTTTTTCTTTTACAACTGACTTATTTTTATCCACTAGCTGTCTGATGAAATAAGTTGTCAAAATATTTTGGAAGGAAGGTTTTTAACACTTTGTTTCTTGAAGGCAAAGATTCAGCTATTGTGCTGTAGCTCCCAGTGGGCTTTGGCTGCCACCTACTGGATAAGGGTTGGATATCTAGTGTTAGTTGACTAGTCTCCTACCAGTACTGAATCAACTTGAGTGCTTGGAAAAATTAGGGCTGCAAGAGGATTTGCATTTCTCAAATACCAGCTTGTAATAAATGTAGTTCTGTAGCTGCAATGCAGCTGTTTGGGTACATCTCTTCCATTGAGGCTTTGATATATTTTTCTTCCATAGCTTGCCTTGATTCCAGAACTGAGTATGCAGTCTGCAGAGCATTTGACCAAGTGCAGTATAGTTTGTTGATTTGCTGCCCTATGTAATAATCTTCAGTTTTGGTACTTTACATAAATTAAATACCAGAAGGGAGCTAAATGCAGTGTTTTCCTGGGAAAGAAAATGCTTTTACCTAACAAATAAGTAGTTTTAGTTTAGCAGGCTACAGTTTTTTAAGTATGATGTATATAAAAAAATAGAAGGGTGAATAAAGTTAAACATTGATTTTGAAGTTGATGTGTATTACACAGCTTAGAATATTCCAGTTATTCCAGTATCCACAATGATGTTTAGCTCACAACATTTTTTTTTAAATCTGTTGTAAAGTAAACAGAAATTCCATTATGTAGAAAACCTGGGGAGGCAGTTCTTACATTTCAGAAATTAATCTGTCCTTGAAGTTTAAAATGCAGTCTGAAACAAGCTGGCCACATTACTCTAAGAAAGAGTAATAAGTAGTAACTGTTAATCGAGAGTTTCTGATTCTTTTTCTCCTAGCACAAAACAAGATACATTTTTCCCACCTGGGGGAAGAAGTGAGAAGAGAAACAAATTAGATTTAACTTCCAGCTAGTAACTATCTAAACCGAATGTCATGTCTAGCAATCTTAAAATAGAGTATTACCAAATGTATTGTCATGACAACCTTGAACTGATTGTTCTGTTTTCAGAAAGTTGTGAGAGAAGTCAGTAACACTTTTGTCGTGTTAATTCTGTGCATTCAAGTGACTCGCTTTTCTTGTCTTACAGATGAAGATGAGGATGAAGATGATGAAGAAGACTTTGAGGATGATGATGAATGGGATGATTGATCATATATTATTATATATATATTTTTTAAGGTGAATGATATACTAAACACTACTTTCTGTCTATGGATTCTGTAAAATTATCATGTAAATGTTCTACCAATTTGCTGTATATTTTTGTTGCCTTTTGCTTTTTTATTAATCTGTGCAATACCTCATTTAATCTGTAAAGGTTTGTCATAATCCTCGACAAAGCTACTCCCTGTTAATGTGTGCAAGTTTACACCTGGATGATCATGTACATGTGAATACTTTCCATTCCATCAATAAGGGAGTTTAAATGTAATATGTGAGACTGACAAAAACCTTAATGTAATTTAGTTATAATGCAAGAAGGAAAACACTATTTTCATACCCTACTTTTTCTGTATCTAAATTTTCTTATTAAAACCTAGTATAGCACTATGTTCTTTAAGTGATGCAGCTCTTAGTTTATTTAGCCCCTTCATTTCAAATGCAATGCTATATGAATGTTGAGGCTGGTTTATACTATTGCATGGTTTCAAATACATCACAACATTGCAGTTCAAATCTTAGCAGTATGCTTCACATAACACAAAAGTACTTCAGAAATGCACAGCTAGTTGTGAAAATTACCTTGCCCTAACTGTAGCAGTACTGACTGCTATTGAATAGCAGGAGTAATTAAATTCTTCAATTAGGGACCTCTATCTGAAGTTAAACAGGGTGGCTTTACATTGTCATAGCAGTAAAGACAACTTTGAATGCAGAGAAGTTCCATCTTTTCTTTGGGTTTTTTTGGGGGAGGGTGGTTTTGGTTTTGGTTTGGGGTTTTTTTTTGTTTGTTTGGGGATTTTGGGGTTTTTTGGTTGGTTTTTATTTTTTTTTCTTCCTTCCCAGCTCTTACTTTCAGAATGAAGACATCTAAATTACTGGGGGCTGTACTGGAGGCTAGCAATCGCTACAGTTTGATATATTTTTAAAATCAGTTTTTTTATGGTTTTCAGACTGAAGGGCTGCATTTAAGGCTTGCTTCAATAGTGTTTAATTACTTCGTAAAATTTGTAGGACATTGGTGTACTAATAAACACAAGTGGTATTACTTTGCAGTCTTTGCATTATGGTACACAACAGATGCTGAAGCACCAGTCCTACATTCTTTAGGTTGGAAAGTCATTAACTCAGAATTATACACTTCGAATAAGTACTGAATTTTATGGCAGTATTCTGTCTTCATATGTTGGCTTTAAGACCAAGGGTTGTGATGAAGATCAAGAACCTGATTCACAAGAATAGTATTTGAATAAGTGGACAGAAAATGGGATTTTCATTTCACAGCTTGCACATTTATATAATGTGTACTTTGTAGTGCAGTAAACATTGGCACATCTGCCTATTACGAAATACTAATCTATGCTACATGGGTATTTAATATCTACAGAGTTAATTACTGTACTTACTGTAATTTTCAGGTAGAAAATCTTTTTAAAAACCACGTTATCTGACACAGAACGTTTAGTTAAGTCAGTCATATTTGGAGCGTAGTTAATGCGTAGTGTCCTGGGTCTTTGACTGTAGTCAGAGTGTCAAAGGAAATTTAAGTTATCAGAATTGTGTTGACTGAAACCCAGTGTTGACCTGATCTTGACAGGCTGGACCTGCATGATACGGCTTGGATTTCTAACCCAGTTATATCCTAGTCTTTAGCAAATTAATTTAGTCGTATGAGAAGAAAAGAAAGTTGCTGAAAAGTAGTGGGAGAGGTAAGGTTGTAGTTAAATTATTCAGAGGATGCTAACTTCCTTCGAAGAGTAATTTAAGCACATAACTTGAGGAAAAAAATTGCCAAGTGGTCTCACTTTCTTGCGGTAACTTTCTCATTGGCCTCTGCTGCTGGAAACACTTCCTACTAGCTTTGCTGTTGTAATGGCTTGAGCTTTGTATCAAGTGCAAGTGCAGCCTGGGATAGCTAATGGCAGTGGAGTTAACAACTTGTGTATAAGGAAAATATTTGTATGGCTTTCATATAACTTCTGGCACTGCTCCCTTATTTTTATTGCATATAGGGCATTTTAAAATGAAGCAGATGAGACCTAGAGGTTTTCCTAACATGCTACTTACTAGATATGTTTAGCTGTTATGTTCCCAGAATTGGAATTTCTGTAATATAGTTAATAATTAAGCATCACAATTCATTAATCAAACTTCTATTCCAGGTTTTGGGAGCTCTGAAGTTACATTATTGAATAAAACTTTGTTTTGTAGATACTGACCAAAGAAAGTTTTTGGTTTTTCTGCTTCTTCATACAAAAAGTACACTCACGATCTGTGGTGACCAGGTTAATATTTACTTTAAAGTAGTGTTTGTTCATGATAAATTTCAGGCATAAAGACTGCGATGGCAGTTAAGTTAGTCATAACTGCATGCTTCAGCACTCTGCCACTTGCACTCCAAGCAGAAGATAGCATTTCATGATACTGGTGCATTGTTGCTAAACATTGTAATGAAGGCCTCTTATATATTCTGGTTAAATGACTGTCCAGATAGCCTTAGCAATTAATGAACTAGCATGAGGCTTTTGTATCTCAACACTCTGTGTGCATAGACAATATCAGCTAGCCACTTGTACGTATGAAATCCGTAAGAATTTCTCAATCATTCAATTTTCCATTTATCAAAATGAAATTTTTAGTATGTGAATTTTTGAAATGTACAGTGAATAGGATGTTGCACTGGTGGCAATTCATCATGGAGCATAATAAAATTAATTTGACCCAAATAACGTAAAACTGTGTGGTTTTTAAGTGCTAATTGTGGCACAGGTTTTAAATAGATGTGCAGATTGATTACACACTTTAAAAGTAACTTTGGTCACCTGACCAAGTTCACAAAGCAGTAAATAGTTGCTGTTGAATCACAGTAGTTCCGTGTCTCTGGAAAGTTGGACTGTGCTATTGAGTAAACACAATGAGTAAGAATGTGACACCCGGTCCTCCTGGCAGATCTCGTGGCTGCTGAGCAGCTTCCTTGGAAACAGCTACTGCTCCGGGCAAGTGCAATAAACTACCAACATTTCAAGGTCAAACAAACATGAGTTCATTAATAAACATTCTAGAAGGAGTACCAAGTAGTTAACTCTTGTCAGTGAATGCTCTAACTTTCCAGGTTATTACAGATGTAAATCTTTGTCTTGCACGTGGTAGAGTTTGAGCTCAGGACACTTCAGAAGTCTGCTTCTCTCCTCTAAAGCATCTGGAGAGTCCAGCATTTCAAACTGTTATCTGGTATACATTTTCTTTTGAAATTTAGTGCTTATCTGATTTTTAGGCCTTAACTACAAGGCAAAGTTGTTACTTACAGGATGAGCTGAGGTGTATAATTATTTCCTCTCCACTTAGTAAGCAAAATGTTAAAAAATGCTTTCAAAAGGATGCTTTTCCTTTTTTTTTTTTTTTTTTCATTTGGCAGTGGTTATTTTCCCAAGTAAGATGTATGAAAAGAGGAAAAAGGAGGAAAGATCCTTTTGGTTTTAAGACCATTTTTAAGATTGTTAGCTGCAATAGCCTTTATCTAATCATTAGAGGAATTCTTGGTCTAATTAAAGTTCCTGAAGCTTAACTACAGTGATAAGCAGCTTTATTTATAGAAAAGTGAAAATGGTTTAGGGAAGCTTAGAAGATACTAACCTTTGTCTCTCAAAAGACCCCTGTTATCCTCTAGCACTGCAGTAAGGACTCCTGTTGCTATGTATTTGTTTACTGCCTGGAGTTTTCTTGTGAGTGAGAAGATGGAATGGATGGGATAGTATGAACTAGAATGTGAGCTTGGGGAGGTTTAATGCCCATGTTTTAACTGGTTTGTCAGTGACTCTAGCCTGACATTTCTCTTTATGATACTCAAAAAATTTGAGGATGTTTATACAGTTGTGAAGGAGTCTTTTTAGTTTTTTTAATTGCTAAACTGCTTTGATATGTCTGCTATTTTGCGTTTGGAAAAAATAAAGCATTAGAAGTTTGAAATTACAGATTTGAAAATAATTCAGATAAACATTGAGAAGTAGAATCATTGTCCAAATATAATCAGTGGGATTTTTTTCTGACAAATTTTATTTCATGCTGAATTTTGCGGTATTTGCAGAAGTAACCTGCTAAAATGAGTTATCAGTTAGTCAAATTTTTTCTCTAATATAGTTTTGGGTAATAACTGCAGACTTACCCATCTATAAGCAGCTTAATACACACCTGGAATTAGGAAGCTTGATATGTTACACCTATTGTGGTTTTTTTAATCTATTGGTATCGACAAATGTATTTAAAGGCCTTTTTGCTTGTGCTCTGAAGGGTTTTTGGAGTCTCTCTGGAGTGAAATTCTTGAGCCATTACTTCATGTGTGTGTTTCTTCCTCCCTGAAGCTTAATCATCTTTTATGAGTGTGGTGACTTGAGCAGTATGAATTTTAAATTTGTTGCTTGAGGACTAGATGAGGGAGTCCAAGGTTAGCTTAAAAAACAGCTATCCCACCAGCATTATATTTTTGTATGTACCACTTGGGGAACACAATGAAATCTCATGTTTAAAGCTTAAGAAATTTGATAATGCTTGTATCATATATCCAACACTGAATATTTGCTTAAATGACATGGGCAGGCACACAAAATTGGAAATTGGCTCTTCTGGATGTTGATACCAAAAACGAGGCAACTGCTGGAGCAGCTGAGCTGGATTCGGAGGGCTTTATTGGTGTATGGGTCTTTCCCAGATGCTCAGGATATAAGGAACACAGACTGACAAACTTGAGAAGCTTACACGTTTGTTTTTTTTTCTAGATAGTACTACAGGAATTTTATGGTTTGGATAGTCTTTTGGACCAAAACAGTGCTTATTTAATAATCAAGAGAAGAAATCCTCAGCATATAGTCCTTCAGCGTTATGCCTGTTCAACTGTCAGCAGATAATTTGGCTTATTTTTAAAATGAAACGGAAAAACCAGTCTAGACCCAGTTAACGTAAAACATGTTTTCTGTGGTTTGTCTCCTGAGGGTAATGTGTGTGAATGAGAAAGGCCCGTGGCTAAAGCTGAAATCTGCTAGCTAGTAGTATTCTTTTTCAAGGACATCAGGAATTACAAGTTTTCAGATGTAGTAGCTTTCAGTACCTAATCTTTAGAGAATATGTTACTGAAACTCACCTGCTGCCTCCAAGACCGGTAAGAAGAGTAGTGATTTTGGAAAGCAAGCACAGTGCTCAGGCCTGCAACTGGTAAAAGAAAAAGAGTATGAAATAGTTCTGTAATGTTTAAAGGGTCCCTTTAGAGCTTTGACATCCTTTGTGCTTGCTTTACAGGAGCTGGGATAATCTTCTGAATCATACTAAACTAGTATCCTGCCCAGATAACTGACTTTCTCAGATACATTACCAAATCTCAGCCCTTACTAAGCCATTCTGGTCTTCACTAACAATGTCCCAATTCTGGACGGCTCTCCAAACCTCATGATAGAAATACCATTAGCACAATTGCCTAACAAATAACCTTCAGCAGCTGTTGTGTAGCATATGAGACATTTCAAAGGGAACAGAAGTCATCCTGATGTGGATTCCTCTTTAAAGAAAAAAATGATCTTGCCTGCATACTAAGCTGAAGAACACCTGGAGATACCAAATGACCAGTAGAGAAAACTGCTGGTTGCTCTCGTGAGCAATGTGAGAGGTGGGCTGGTTGGTCAAATGGTAGCTGTAATCCTAGATGCATTCTTCAAGGAATCAACCCAGCATTGATCACTGTGGGCATAGGAAACAAAAAAAGACTGGAATCTTTCTTTGCTGCTTGGCACATTGCCTGGTTCATCATGGCTATGGACCTCAGGAAATCATGCACACCAGGGGCAGTGACCAGTCAGGCTGATCATCATCATCCCAACATTTTAAATACAGAATATGCGTATTCAGTCAAGCTGCCTGTGCAGTCTGGAGAGGATACCTGGAATGAGTTTAGAGCAGCATTCCTTGTACTTTTGCTGTGGATGCTAGCTTCTAACTGAGTTACCATCAGCTACACTGCCATGTTGGGAGTTGAGTGAGACCTGTGTATTCTGCCAAGTAGAAATTGTCACACTCTGTTACCTGTAGACACAAGGTGTCTCTGTTTCTTGAAAGGCTGTAGTTGCAACCTCCTGATTGAAATCAAGTACTGTGGTAGTTGAAGTTGTTACTTGCATTCCTTGTGTTTTCACTGTCAGAACAGCCTTTCTCTTGGTCTGAAATCCTCCAGAAGTGTGATGCAATATGAAATCATTACAGATCTTCATGGTTCCTGATTTTGCAACAAAACTAGGTTATATATTTCCTTCTGTCCTTCCCCAAGCCATTTTCAGCGCTAAACCTCTTACCTCTGGCCCGTTCTTCAGATGTTCCCTCTCTGCCTTGACAGAACTAGTGCCTTCTAAAAGACAGTAGAAAATCAAGCTCTTTGAACATTTACCATCTTGTCCATTCTTTGCCATAAAACGAATTCAGTTTGTTAGCAGGAGGAGAGAGCCCTGAATGAAACTGCTGCTGTGTGTGACAGAAGCATCTTGTCTAACCTGAAGCAGATTATCTCTTGGTGCTCTTTTGGAGGTGACAATCAGGGCAGATTGTCAGCAGGGGGTATCACGGCAGTGTGTACAGAAACCAGTAGAGAACATTGTGGGGATCATGGCCTGTGCAACAGGCCCCATAGGTCAGCATTCAAGAGATTTAGCTGTGTTCTCTCTCAGGAACAGATGAAGTGTTACTGAGCAATCAGGGAGGAATGCAGCACAAAGTAGGATCCTACATTTGTCCGACTCAGTTGTTCTTCAGACCCCTATTTATCTCCATTGGCTGTAATGAGAGTGTAGACACTGAGAGCAGTTGCCATCTACACTTCAGACACTTAGATGCAGGTGTTTTAACTGAAACCAAATCTGTATTGCCTTGTGTCTCAGTTGCTCATTTTTGTAATGGTGGTAACAGCACATCAAAAGTAATGCATATAAATACATCTAGTCCATGGTACTGCAGTCTAGACATGTGACACTTAAAAAACTTTTAAATGCCATTTTCCTTGTTCAGATTTAGTTACCTTAGTTCTCAGAACACAACCACTAGGGAAGGCTTCTTTATTTCTCCTAGGCCTGGTTTTTAGAATCATTTTTAAGCTCTCAAAAAAGAAAACAACACTTGAATCCTATCTGAAGAGCAGAGCTAATGTGAGCATTTAATTACCTGTGTGTGAAAATACTGGGTCATGCTCTAGTGTTGCCTTAAACTGTGATTTTGGATTTAATATCTCCTGTGTGATCAGAACTCTGGAAACCCAGACACAGCATTTAGTTCCCCATGGATTTAGCTTTAATAAACTAAAAATGTTTTAATACACTATGTGAAAGACATGAGTTTTGGGACCTACTGAGTAGTTCCTAATCCCCTGGTTTACATGCCAGGTTTGCAGCACAGCTTCTCACGACAGTGCCCATCAGGAGCACTGCGCTGTGTTTGATGTTGTCAGAAGCTTAACTGATCCTGAACAGGGAGTCCTGTCCAGAGCCCGAGTGCTGGTCACTGCAGCAGTGTTGGGACGAGGGGCAGCAGCCGCGTGTGGGCAGCCCTATCGAATGGCCTGTTCGAGGTACCGACTGCCTCGCTGGCTGCCCGCTGGCAGTCACACAGTCCTCCCTGAACATATATAAAGAACATTTGTTTCACGGTTGTAAGTCATTATAAAATTGCTGAAATTGCTGCTTCTCTGGTGCCCTGTAGG